AAGCGACAATCATATGAACAAAAACCCAAAAATTGTTATACCTTATACTAAAAAATATAGTAGGTAGGAGTGCGTATACAACGTCAGTGGCGCCGGTCTCTATTATGTATAAGTTTATTAGTTTATTTGGGTTGGTGGTGGACGTGGAAGGTGATAGAGCAGTACACTGATACAGTGATACGTAGGTACAGGGTTGTATCGAACGGCATCTACAAAATCTTTTCGATTTTTAACGATTCTCGATAAAACAGTTTTCGCGTCATCGTCGGTGAGTAAAGCAGAGTGGGTATATTATAATATTATAATATATTATTAGTTATTACTAGCTGATCCCACGCACGCCGCACTTCGTTGCCCGTAAAAAATTATAACTTATTATAACTAAAAAAATTTTTATTGTTCAACTCCTTTTGGGTGCAACTAAGACTGATAGGCAATGTGTGACGACAGCATATCAAGTAGGCAATGTGCGAACATTGTATTTGAATATTTGATGCATGAACAATGAATACTAATTTCTACTAATTATTTCTCCTATAACCAATAGCAAATATCTCAAAATCTGGAAATCCCTGTTTGTGCACCTCCCGGGTTCGACCTAGGAGGGTGAAAAATACTTTACAACCTATTATAATTATACCTTTACCAAATATACAAAAAAAAATTTCATTGAAATCGGCCGTTTCGGAGGAGTGCGATCACAAACACCGTGACACGAGATTTTTATATATAGACTTTTATTATATTAATTATGATAGTGATGCAATGTGTAGTGCTGAGAAGTAATAAGTAATAACATTCTGGTGAAGACGAAGACGTAGTAAAGGGTGCTCACTACTAGCATATTATTAGAATATAATTCATATTCAGTATGTATTTCGGTCAATGCGTATTCTAGTTGATAACGGCAGCGGCATCTGCCGTCACTGTTTTGAACATTTAAGAATTCTTGTAACTTATTGTTGTCAAATACCGGAGCCATTTGTGAATTGACATACCTATTCGTAGGATTGGGAGCTGTTTGTGTTGCACCAACGCACATGCTATTCATCTATGTCCTTCCAAATTGCCCAATTCAAAAGAAATTACATGAAAAATGAACGGTTGGGGCGCTTAATGTCCATCGCCAACTTTAACTCACATCGTGGACCCCAGTATCCCACTCAGCCAACCCCCCCCCCCTAACCTTTCTAAATTGATAATTTTTCAGTTTTGTACATTTTTAAATTGTCTTGTCAGTTGTTTGGCATTTGTATTACTATTACTACAACCTATTGCTTATTCATAATTAAGTAATATAAAACTGTATTCATCATTAACATGTTTGTCTTCACAGGGCTCAGCCCATAAATTACTAATTGTTCAAATAAATAGCACATTGTATTTGTATATGCATGAACAGGCACGTGCGCGATCAAGTAGGCTCCCACGGTGGGCCCGAAAATAGATTTTACATAATAATATTATTATCTATGCGCGCTTCGTGGGCCGATTCACGATTTGTGGGACACGCGTGCGTAAAGTGACATAATATTATTATCGTATTATTATACATATAAATTCCATTCTAGTATTTTTATTTTTTTTTCAGTCATTACACCGGCAACATGTAAAACGTTCCGTTCGCCGGTCAAACGTGAAAATAATAATATACACGATGACGTTGTATGATGTACCGTGCTGTCGCGAGAAGTCGTGGTCTTTTGGCGGACATTTAGTTAATCACGTCATCGCGGCCACAGTACTGTTAGACAATCGCGGTCGTGACGAACAGTAATTAATTATTTTTTGTCATTATCCAATATCCATATTTATTACAAATAGTAACCGCTGTTCTTAAACATCGGCGGAAGTCCTGCATGTCATCAGTGATGTAGTCATGTGTCATATTGTGTGTTTCTATATTACAAAAATAATTTTTTATTATATTATTATGATTATTAACATAAGCATCACGATCACGATTAATCGAACATTTGGTTAATCCATAGACATATAGGACAATATGTGTATGGGTTAATCAAATTGGGTATCACACGATTGCACGTGGTCCTCATTATAAGCAGACAAGCAGTACCTTTTTAGGCAAACGATTGAGAGTGCTATATTATATTACTTTTAATCTCATGCAACGTTGCCAAATAAAAGTTTTTCCGACTGTCCTAATTAAAGCATGCTGTTTTCACCTGTGACAATATTAGTGGTGCAAAGTAAGATGAATCACACAAACACGATTTATAGACGTACTTATATATGGCTATAAATTATAATATTGAATTTGGTTGTTCATTTCCATCTATTTTATGGGCTAAGAGCCTAAGACACAATCATCAAATACTAGGTTAATATCTGCTAATGAAAATCCTAAAAATAAAAATAAAGTCTATGCAAAAAATGTACATATTATATTTGATAGGGTGAACAGATCATAGTAATTGTCACTAATTGAACTGTTAAGAGTTTGTTTGCTATTAAAATGTATTCATAAATTAGTTTTTAGTATTATATTTATACAGTTTAGACTTGGAAATATTGGTATAACTGTTTATTTTTAAGCTAACATTAAGAAAACCATATAAAACCCAATATTACTATTAATAAATAAATAATTATTTATGGAACATATTATTATACTGTTTAATTTAAAAAATAAGATAAATCCTACTGATTGAACACTGCAGAATGCTAGTTTTTAAATACTTCAAAATTTCAAATATCCAGTGTATGACACCTATTTGCGAAGACAATTTATAGGTATTATAGTATCTTTATTAAAAATAAAACAAATTTTAAATATATACATATCGACATTAATTTAAAAAAAATTCTTATGATGGCTATAAAAAAAGAGTCAAAATAGCTTAAAAAGAGTCAAAATATTTGTGAAAATTGTATCGTGTATGGAAAATTATCATATTAAAATCTTGTGAACAATTAAAATATATACGGTCATTGCTTTTTTAACTAAATCAAAAAAATAAAATAAAATCTATTTTGTCAAAAATTGTTTTTGCGTAAAACTTTCGATTTTCGGGAATTTTTTTTTTTTGTATTACCTAATGCTTTCGAAAAATACTTGGAATTTTCAATTGTTACCCCTTTAATGCACCAACAGGCAACAACATTGATTTTCCTATAAAAAAAGATGCTGAAATCGAAAATTGGAGCATTTTTCCTACCCCTAAAGTTGATGACAGAAATAGGAATAAAAAACACCCGTTATTTTTTTTTTCTTATTGGTCTCAAGCCCGACAACTGAGGCCATTAGCAGTAGGATGGTACAGTAGGGTTTATGGGATGGTAGGGAACAGTCGGAGGAACACGTTTTTGTGTTTGGCAGAATTTTCAAGTGAGCACTCGTAGGTATCTGCCATGCCCGTGTGATGGAGGCCCTTCTCTCCAGACACCCTGACTGTCCGAAGAGAAGGGCCGCCAGTGGCCGAGGTTCAAACTGTCGACGGTGCAGAGTGATCGACGCCTCAGAGTCCGCTCTGCCACTCCCTCCCTCCACACATTATTGTAGAGCCAATAAGTACATTTATCGCTACGCTCAGAATCTAAAATCTACTACAGACGACCAAGGACTGGAACCTTGATGATTTTTACGGTACCGGTTCCTATTAGGTTCCCAGAAAAACCAATAATAATTAGGTTTCGGTTTCGGTTTCTTTTCGGTTCTTAAAAAATAAAAAAATTGTTAGCTGATACGGTTTTTTACTTATGTAAAAACATTTGTCAAGTAAAAGTATCGGTTCCGGTAAGGTTCTGGTTTTTAAATTAATTCAAATAAGGGTTTCTTTTCCCAATATTCAAAGGGTTCTGATTCCAAAACCGGTTCTTTTCGGTGAGGTTCCAGTCCCTGCAGACGACAGACCACAATCTGACTTTCCAATCATCAAAATATAAATATAAATAAATGTCACAATTAATAATGTGGGGATATATTTATATGGATATACTACCATTTGTGATGGCACAGTATTGCAGGTGCCCCAGGTGCTTTAAACTTTTTAGCTTAGCATTAAAATTCAAAAAAATGAAAATACGTCCACCTTAAAACTAAAAACAAGTAAAATATAATAGGTATATGGAAATGCCAGAAATAGGTCTCGTACTGTCGTTAGTTCCTACTTCCTAGGAATGAAAAAAATTAACATTTTCGAAATTACCTGCCATTCACATGAAATGCCAATTCCAGTTTGAGAATTCGCAATATACGCTCCTTCTCGGCTTCTCCAAGTAATCCTAGTCGTAAGATTATTTTTTTATAGTAGTAAATTACTCTTTATATTATGGTTATAACTTATAATAATATATTAATATGGTTAGGCTTAGGACTTAGGACTAGATATTCGACATAGAGATATTAATAAATTATATTTATTATTAATATTATATCTATGATATTCGACGGTGGCATTGGTTGGATGCACTGTGAATAAAATCCCCTCTCGTGGATAAACTGTTGATAGTCAATTATTATTATTGCGTCCTTGTTATCATGTGAAATAACTTCAAATTTCCAAATACATAACATGTAGCATCCACGACTGAACAATATAGCATTCCTGCATAGTGCATTCACATAATATTTTCACATTTCACTTCATCACGTCTATCCCAAATTCTCCAGGTTTTGTTTATTTGTTATCAACAATTAGTATTTTATTAACCCATCGTAATATTATAATTGACAATTGTCTGATAGTTAAACCAATTTGATATTATTATCATTGTAAATAATTCCTAGTTTTGATTTTTTAAGCACTACAATAAGATATTATATAATAATATTTAAGCTGCATTCTACGATTTTTGATTTAAATTAATTTTAAACAAAACAAGTAATTAATATTGTTTCAAGGAATTTATTGATCTTGGTAAATATTATTTTTACTTATTACGTAATCAAAAAATAATTCATTATACCTTTATGTAACTTTTGGGGGAATCAGGAAACATTTTCATTAAAGGTTTTTTTTTTTTTTACAGTCGCCAATATGGTGAAATTGTTTGCTATGAGTGTGTTGTACAAAGGACCTAATGATTCAACACTATTGAAATCTGCATTTGAACTGCAGTCATTTGGTTACTTCCAACGTAAAAGTGTGCAGGAATTCATGGGATTTGTAACTAAAACCATAGTGGAACGTACAGCAAGTGCTGCTCGGCAATCTGTAAAGGAAAAAGGTTTGAATCTATTAATCCTATTAATACAATTACATAGATTATCAGTGTTAATTAATTTTAGAATATATGTGTCATGTTTATGTACGGGCGGATAATTTGGCTGGTGTTCTAATATCCGACGATGAATATCCTCATCGGGTTGCGCATACACTTCTAACAAAGGTAAACTCATGATAAAATAACTTTTATGACCACTTCGTGATACTCAAATGCAATATTGGGAAAATAGTCTTTTGGTGCTTTTGAATTGGTGGTTGATATGGTATGATATTATATTATATACCGTGCGTTTGCAAACACTGGGTACACTCCACAACTCAGTTACCTACATTACTCAGTACTCTATACATATTTTAGAATTCTGTCTGCAGGAGATTGATGATCTAATAGTCAAGTTTCATGTCTCTCAAACAGAATTTAAAAAATGTATAGATTACTGATAATATGAGTAATTTGATTATACAGTGTACCATGTTTTTTCGGACACACGGTATATTAAAATATAAGCTAAACAAAAGACGTGACAAAACAAAATTAAATTTGTTGTGATCATAGCTATTTATTTTGTCATGGGTAAATTTAATTTAAATATTATACACTTATCACCTATAGTCTTCAAAATATAAGAATACTGGAAACTTCTTATATGTTCTTATATGATCTTTATGTTATAAAATATTTCAAGTATGTAGTCTTAAATTCTGACTTCTCTTTTAATATTAAGCTATATTAATGAAGGTATTAATTCAAAAAATTGCCATTAATGTTATTTAATAATAAGTACCTAAATAATTTATAAATAAATTAATAAAGTTTTAAATTCTTTATTCAATAGGTATTTCTAATTTAATAATTATATATTATTTTTCAGCTATAATAATTTAATGTTTTCAAATTTATTAGTTTTTACTTAAATTTCTTTTATCTGAAATCAACAAATGTTGCTTGTGAGTTATACAGTAGGTTCTGACTACTGTAAATGAATCACACTTTTAAAGTGAAAATGTATCACTACACCTAATATGCCTGTATTTAATTTATTACCTTACTAATTATATGTATTTATTTTTTTAACTTAGACATTAGATGAATTTTCTGCAAAAGTTCCATCTCATAGTTGGCCAAAACTCAACGAAACACAGGTTACATTCAATGAACTAAATGCTATGTTAGCCAAGTATCAAAATCCCAAAGAGGCTGATGCTATGACAAAAATTCAACAAGATTTAGATGACACAAAAATTATTTTGGTAATCTTTTATTTTTAATACTTACTACTGAACTTAACATTTTCATTAGTTTTGAGGGTACTTTTCCATTATCCCGACTACTGGCCCATGCCGCGACTACCGTAACTATTTCGTTATCTCGACTACCACCTCGATATGATACTAGCCAGACTTTATAGTTCCCTGTAACAACATAGTTACCTTGTGATAAACTTGAGGTGGTGTTGAATAGCAAGTCCAGGGATATTTTTGTATTTTTTGTCTGAGTGGTAGCGCAGCGAGCAAATGGTCACGCGGACATCACTGTAAATAATTTACGATAATGGAAGTTTAATTTTTTGAAAGAAAGGTTACTTCCAAAATCTCGGACAAAGAAAAATTTGTTTCATCACTACTTGTGATTAAATAAAATTATTTTGCTTACATATTGAATGTGTAACAGTGTGAGTGCCAAAGTGATATGCAGAATAAATTGTAGTGTCGCTCAAGAAGTGACATACTGAGCGTCTGAGTTCATACTTTTACGAAATTTCGAAGCCTTGTTATTGGAAGTTATAAAGATAAACTGTTAACCAAATAAAATATATTAAATCATATCTATCAAAGATCATGTAAAAACCGGCCTGCAGCAGGTAGATCATATCATATAGCAGATTACAACAGGCTGGTAGAACGCTTTTGTAGGTAGATAGCATACTATAATATACTGCCAAAAAGTCTGTATTCCTTCTTACTTTTCAATCCTATAAATTATTTCTGAATGATTTTGTCCTTTGTACCATTCTTTATAATCTGTGACATTCCTCATAATAATGTAAATAAAAATAATTTTGATCTATTGAATGTTTAGCGTTTACCCTTTTTATCTTTACTTAATAGTTAATTATTTTAACCCGCCTATATCATACTATGGACCCCACTTTTTTTTAAATCTTGAATAAAACATACATTTTACATAATTTCAATCATTGATTTTTTATTACTAAAATTTTAAATTGTAAAAATTGTATGAAAAAATTATTTGTTTTAATGAAAAAGTGAATGATACAATTTTTTTTATTCTTGAAAAATTTAACACTGTTGAAAGAACCACAATTCAACTAGGTAATGATTTAATATTATATTATACTGGTGTGACTAACGTTGGGTCAATGTCTTCTCAATGTCCCATGGCCTATATGATCTATCTCCCCATTAATACACTTTTATTCTTTCTATCTTACATTATATATATTTTACTATACAGGTGTTAGTTTCTAAATTAGTTCTTTGATATTTTTTTTATGAACTGACCTGTTAATTTTATCAATTTGGTGACACTAATAATATTGTACCTAACAATATCTTAAAAAAAAATTTTTAATATTATATAATAATTACTAAATTTTTTTTAGCATAGTACAATTGAGGCCGTTTTGGAACGTGGAGAAAAACTAGATGACCTGGTTGCCAAATCCGAAGGCTTAAGTATGCAGTCCAAAGCATTTTACAAAACTGCCAAGAAAACAAATGCTTGTTGTCGAATGTAAAATGAATTTTATTTTTACCACCAATATGATGACTGGTTTTAAGTATAAATAATTTTTTACTCAGTCAACAAAAATGTGACTACTTATAAGGATATAAAAAAACAATATTAAGGCTTATTTATTATTACATTCCGATCCCTTCCCAATTTATATTTTATATTATAATAATCGGAGAAAAAGTGTATTCATTACGTTTTATTCACATTTGGGGACGTGATCAATATTTTATAATAAACTGGATATAAAATATATATTTTAACAGAAAAAAAAAATGATGAATTTAATTAAAAATTTAAATTAATTTGAAATTATTTCTTGAAATGAAAATCATTTTTATTTATTATTCTATTATTTTAGGTAATAGCAAATCCTGTTTCGTTAATCTGATTCAATTATACTCTGTACCAAATAAGAGAGCACCGCGTTGGCGCATCCAAATGAATCAAGTGACGTACGGACCTTCTGGCTGGGTCTATTCGCACTGCCATTGGTTACCCTTAGTTGGCCGTATTCGCCGCTGCCACACGATGCGGTAGCGCTCTCTGTTATGTACAAGTTTTGACCGGTTTTCGTGCGCCACCCGGTGCGTTCTTATTTGGTACAGAGCATAGTTTAGCCATAAATACAATTAAACTAATGTATTTTCTTAAATAAAGTTCAAAATATATTAAATTATTAAGTAAATATACTGATAATCTTTAGTTTTATTGTAAACATTTCGCATATTTATCTTATTTCTGTATGTGCTTTTTTAGACATTGTATAGGGAATGATTTAAATTGTAAATTATATTGCAATTATCCATGACATTCTTCGGTAAATTATTATTTTGTTACAACCAAATTTATATTTAAATGGCCTTATAAATTTTCTCTTGATTGAACTAAAGCATAATAGCTTAAATTACTCCTAGAGTAGTGTAGGATATTGTAGTATAAGGAAAACAAAATATTGAAACAACACTGATTTACTATCTAAATTTATAGTCAATTGTTTCTGACGTCCATCTAAAAATGAGAAATAGGATAAGAATAATTTCAAAATTTAACTTGATTTTATCTTTTGCATAGTCATAGTGTACTTCTTAAGATTTTACCAGTTTCTACCATTTATAATTGAAGAATATACATGTACGTTTAGTGAAGAATCAAGAAACTGTTAAAGCTGAAATTTTTTCGTTTATAATATTTTATTGTTATTACAAAAACAATTATTTGACTTTTTTATAGTTAGCTAATTGTTTGATCTTTTAAATTATTAGAGTTATATTTATTAATGTCTTTTATTTAATAATTTTGTGTTAAAATCCTTCAATCCATAAAGCAATTTATTCTATTATTCTTTTATGTACAACTTGACAGTGATGTATATAGGAGAGTGATCCCTGGGCCATGGTCCATTGTGAAATTTCAGGTTCGATTAAAAAAAATATATGTCAATCATAGTCCCCCAGCCCCAAACATTTAATTGGCTCATAGTGAAAATAATTCTTATTTATGCCACTGAAATGTGTTTGGGTATTAAATATTGTGATATTTTTGTCGGTTAAATTTTAACAAAACTTTTTTTTTTTACAATAGAACGGTTTTGTTCCTTATATAGGTATACTTGTCTTTCTAATACGCCCAAATTACAACTAAATGTGGATTTTTAACAAAATTATTTTTATGAATTGTAATTATGTATTTAATTTCTTTATTCAATTTTAATGTTTTGTAAAATAGTTTGTTATCTATGAAGTTAGTAGTTATTATAATTAATATATGCTAAATATTATGTAATGTATAATCATAGCCTTTTATTGTTATATTTTGTGGTTTATCCAAATATATTTAATATAATGATAACATATTGGCAATTTGCCTAACATTAACATTGGCTTTGGTATTAGATTATACAATTTCTATACTTTTTAGATTAATTTGTATGTCTTTATTCTTATATTAATTTAGGCAAATGATGGGCGTTTTATTTATTTATTTCTAAGAAAATATTTAATTTATAGTTGATCAATACTAAAATGTTTTGATCTATTACAATGTGTAAGTGATAATTTATAAATACTAATATTATATTTATGATATAATAGAACTACAATTATTGGATCATATTAATAATAAATTATTGTTATCATGAAAAAAAAGATTTTTAAATTAGTTCAATAATACATCAATATTTCCCTTCCCAAATGTATTAAACTGGTTAAATATGCGTTGTCTCCGCCTTACAATTAATGCACACCCTAGCAAAAACTGTTTTGCGCGGGACGACTATGATCCCTTTGTATTTATAGTAGAATTACCAAAATTCCACAATGCGTAGGGATGAACTTTATCTGTGTCGCAGCGTTTTTGTTTTTTTTTATAGCACTTCCAAATAATTTTTAATAATTAAACAAAAAAAAAACTAATATTTTTGCTATGTTGTCCATTTGTTAGACGCAGACAATGCATGCGGGTGTATCGTTCTCTTCAGTTAATAAAGCTTGCTTTTGGTTCATATATTTAGTATACTTATCTAATATATAAAAATAGATGTTTGTTTGTTCGTCCTCTATAGACTCAAAAACTACTGGACTGTTTTCAATAAAAGTTTTTTAATCGATTCCTTGGGGTTTGGGGCTTGGTTTTTCAACCCTTTTACCCACCCTGGCTCATACATGAGTTTTGTTTTGACTTTTGGATGGTTATATAACATAGGTATACACAGCTTTTAGGTAATCAGAATAAGAAGTTTTAATTTTGCACTTATTTTTATTTTTTTAGAGCAATTATGGAGTTTTTGAACCCAAAATTTGAAATTTAATTTTAAGATTTTTACAAGATTATTATACAAATTTAACAAACAAAAGTACGTTCTGGCATTATATTATGATTTGAATGTCAAACCCTAGATTACGAGTAGTGGCCTAATGGTGGTTTAATCTGTTATCTACAGCAATGAAATCGACGTCCGACGATAGATGTAAATATCGCATTCAGTATGGGTTTTACTGTCGTGTAATATGTCTGAATTTATTTCCTATACTTTTTTACTTTATTATTTTAGTTGATTGATAAAAAATGACAAAAGTAAAATGTTCAAAAATGTTGAAATAATTGTTTTCTAGATTTAGATAAGTCCAAAACGATCAGTTTTGTTTCTACAACTTATTTATGGTTCTTTAAAATTTCCCAAAATAAAAATAATTTGGCTTAATGGCTTATAAAGACTAAGTACCTTTAAAAATCTGTATTCGTCTGAGGCGTTGGAGGACGCCCGTACCTATTCAAATTTCAAACAGTAGGTATAGGTACATCCAATTAATAATAGGTACCAAATGTTACTATTTGAGAATGCTGCTGATTTAACCAAAGGTCCAACTTCATTTGAAAATCTAAGAACTATCGACGGCGTAGAATGAAAGACCTACAAAGCTTACGAAAAACTTAACTTACTTGAAAATTACCAACATTGGAAATTTACATTGATGGACGCCTCTGCAGCAGCCAGCAGTTACCTACCAGCAACAATACGAACGTCGAACATTATTTGCTATTATCTTGACTTAGTTCTCCATCCAACTATATAAAGATCTGAGGAAAAAATTACCGTATTACTTGAGTGAAGTCATTTTGAGCCGTATTCGTAGGAAAGTAGTAAGTACCTAGGTACCTGTTAGGCTTTAGCAACGATAAAGGGGGGTTCACACTACATTAATACCATTCCATTTTCGGATCTTCAATGATTTGATAATATTAATCTAATTGTCACTGTGAATTAATTAATGTTTATTATAATCATAATATTAAAATAATTATGTTTAATTATGATATAATGTGACACTTGCGGTCGCTCATTATTTTGCTATAAATTCAGTTTGGTTCTTCCTCGCCATTTTTATTTTTTTTTTATCTTAACTTATGTAACTCAACGAGTTAAACGATGATGTAATCATAATTTGTCGCTCGCACTTATTATTTTTATCTTTCACATCATATTTATTTCATATTATAATAAATACCTAATAATTATTTCAACTGTATTAACATCAACCAGAGTAAACGATATTCTAATAACTATTATTTTAATAACGTATTTATTGAGTGATGTAATTTCTTGTTTGTATTAAGCCTAATGAAGTATGAATACTGATTACTGAATAGTAATATTTATTATACAATTTAAAGCTGTCTACGATATTGTTAATGTTGTTATTTGTTATCGATGTCCCAGTCAATTCATTATAATATTATATAGGTAGTGGGTAGGTACTACAATTTAAGTAATATCTATAAAGGTACAGGGTGATTCTTTTAACAGTTGAATAATACCCACCTAGGTACCTCTCAAAATGTTACCACTCCGTCGATACCACGGAGGAAAAAGGGGGGGGTGCTTTAGCATCCCAAAGCACTCTAATAGTTGCCTTATATATGACCGAAATACTGATTTTGAACTATAATATTATATTTTTATAATATACGCATTTACAATTTTTACAATATTATAAAAAGATATTTGGAGATATAAATATATTCATAGGAGCAAATTGCCTAAATTGACTCACCTTCTGGGGGAGACTGCTGCCTGAGAAGATTATGGTGCCTTCGTCGCTAAAAAAGTAGTTCCGGTTTGCGTCGACTCTACCAGTAAATTTTCACCTGTTGTAAATAATGTTTTTACTTTTTTCTAATATAAATGTATCTAGTAATTCTCTTGGCTCGAGTACCAATTATCCTTTAGACTCACTTTCTTTTGGTTTTTACCAAAATTGCCGTGGTCTCCGAACTAAGTTTCCTACCGTGAATGTTAATGTAGCTATATTTGATTTTATATTTGTCATTTTTACTAAAACATGGCTCAATTATAGCAATTTTTCCAGTGAACTAGGATTAATCAATTATAATGTGTTTAGAATTTAGATGTGATAGGTCCAGTGCTACTAGTGTTCATAATAGGGGTGGCGGTGTCCTCATAGCAGTGAAAAACGATGTTAGTGCGTTGGAAATACATGTCCT